CCCTTCAGTCTTATATCTGACCTCCGTCCTCCCCTTCAGTCTTCTATCTGACCTCCGTCCTCCCCTTCAGTCTTCTATCTGACCTCCGTCCTCCCCTTCAGTCTTCTATCTGACCTCCGTCCTCCCCTTCAGTCTTCTATCTGACCTCCGTCCTCCCCTTCAGTCTTCTATCTGACCTCCGTCCTTCCCTTCAGTCTTCTATCTGACCTCCGTCCTCCCCTTCAGTCTTCCATCTGACCTGCGTCCTTCCCTTCAGTCTTCCATCTGACCTGCGTCCTTCCCTTCAGTCTTCTGTCTGTCCTCCATGCGAGGGCCACATGAAATGGCTTGGCGGGCCGGATTCGGCCCATGGGCCTTGCGTTTGACGCGTGGTGTAGATTGTCAATGCGTCGGTACATGGCAGACTCTGCTTATCAGTGCAGTGCAGTGCAGTCATTGTGCGTTGCTGCTCCTCATATGATATCGGAATACAGGACAGTAAACGGGTAAAATATCTGAACGTTTGTTTTAAGTAAATGTGACAAAGATGAAAACTCTCTGAAGACGCATTAGAGTTTCCCTTTAACCTCCATTACAATGGTTCTGTATGGGAGTGCGTGAATGTGCGTCCCCCCCGCTGGGATGTGCGCGGCCGTCGCCAGCAGAGTCATTCGCAGGGCTAGTCCAGGTTTGGCAGAAGACAGAAGTCTTTGTGTTTTAATTGAAGCTAATTAAGTTTCTGCTCCACCAATGGCCGCCGGCCAAGCCGCCTGTTTTTATTTACTCTCCTTTGATGAAGTGCAGAAGATTGTGAGGAGCGGAGCGCGGTGTTCACCGAATAATATCCACCCCGGGGAGGAGCGGGGAGAGGCGGATACGGGGGAGATCGCATTGTGTGTGACATGATTCACCTGTAGATGGTGGGGAGATGCCGGTCCAAGGTAAGACCATGGGGGCAGGAAGCGACTTTGTGTCCCCTTTAAGAGACCCGCCAATTGCAACAAGTGCACATGGCGAGAAACAGTTTACACTGCAAAGGCATTGGGCTGTGTGCTGGACCCCCGATTCTTTAGGCATTTGTTGTTGATAACACGTCGGCAGTACATCGAGGTAACATATGGTGCCGGCGCGGTGTGACGTCTCGTTAGACAGACATAAAGCTGCATTGATTCAGTATCTGGTGCTGGAGGTGCCGGGTCACATGGGCAAACAATACATGATGCCATCTGGCACTAGTACAGCTGCTACCTGACGTCTCCCTGGCAGCGCCTGCTGGCCCATATTCAATAAAGTCTCATAAAGCAACTTTCCCAGATATTAACCCTCCGGCGCCACACAACGGGAAAACGTTCTGCAAATTGGAGTCGTCAAAACTCTGTGAGACACCTTCAGGTAGAACACGTAAGGGGGAACTCTGCTTTTAACCCTTTACGTTGGTATAGTTTTCTGTACCTTCCTTAAAGTAATAAGTTACTTTTCTATATAAGTGATAAAAAACAACAACCGCCAATTTCAGTACAAAGAAATGGCGGCCGCCTTTGTCTGTTCCCGCCTCCTCCTGTCACATTCTTCACACTATAAATAAACATCTGCAGGTGTCCCTCGTAATGTTCTCTTTGTTTTATACATTCGTGTTTTGTGATCTCTGATGTGTAACATTCGTATTCATCTGTTGGATACATTTGAACTGTTTCTGTGTTTTTTTGTGTTGCAGTTTGTGGCTGCGACTTGGCTCAGGGCGGCTTCTTCATCAAGAACGGCGATTATCTATGTACGTTGGATTACCAGCGCATGTACGGTACAAAGTGCAGCGGTTGCGGGGACTTCGTGGAGGGAGAGGTGGTGACCGCGCTAGGAAAGACTTATCACCCCAGCTGCTTCGCCTGCACCGTCTGCAAGTAAGTGTCGTCCTCTGAAATGTGGGGGAACGTAAGCCTTGGGTGGGCGTCTTTCTGAAAGTGGCTTAAACCTGTTCTGTGGTAGCCGTGGCCAAAAAAAGGCAAGAGGAGTACAAAGGACTGGGCAACAGCAGGGGCGTCCCGAGGCTGGGTGACACCCATAGCGGTAACCGAGTGTCACCCCGCCGTGACGTCATCGCGCACGCGCGGCAGTATTCTGCTACCTGCCGGCGGCCATCTTGGTGATGGACGCCGGCAGAGAGAGGAGGGGACAGTCACCTCCTCTCTCCTGATACTGTCTGGCGTTCGGTCCGTGACCGAGCGTCCCGACTTTTCAGAGGGGGGTGACACCAAAATGACTGAGTGATTTTGGTGTCACCCTTTCAATGGTGTCACCCGGGTGCGGGCCGCACCCCCCTTGTGAAGCCACTGGGCAACAGTATGTCCTGTGGTCTCCCTGCAGCTGTTCTATTCCCCATTAATGACTTACCATATCTTGCTCTGTCTCTGTGTGGAGGCGGCCATCTTGGTAGAGGCAGGGCTTTGCTTCCTCATATCAGAGCTGTCCCCCCCTGATGACTGGTAATCTGATGATTGGTGATAGAGGTGGAGGAAGTCCAGATTCACAGAATGGATGAAGCAGGGAGATCCTTGCACTGCAGCTCCTCGGGTACAGCTTCCTCTCCAGCAAGGAGAGCAGCGACCAGCCCAGTAGTGACATCACCAAGTCTGATGAGACTAGGAGGTCAGAGGCAGCAGAGCCTCAGATGATCTCACACTGCAGATATACAGCTATGAAACTATAGAGCAGAAGAGGCCTAGGCACAGGATGTGCCGGAGGTATTCAAGACAAGTCTTCCCTTTTTGAGTTCAGTTCCACTTGAAATAAAAACTGTCTGTCCTGCCGCCAGTCATTGGCCCCTTTCACATCTGTATGCTTTAGGTGCAGTGCTTTGTACATGCATGCCGTACATTTTACACACGATGTATATGTGTTACCATGGAACTTTTTGTCACGTGTTTTGCTAGACCTGGAATGTTGCAAGCAGGAGATG